GTGCAAAGATTAAAAGGTAGACTAGCTTTTGTCCGCCCCGCTGCCTGTCTGCTTACACCAGTCTCCCAGTGCCACAGTGCGCATGTTGTGGAATGCGCCCTGCACTCTCGCAACTGCCCTCCAACAGTCGTGGAGGCACGACTGAACTGGCTCATGTTGTAAAAAGTCTAAGGAGTCATCATAGCATGGGTCTCCTGAACAATAGGTCATGGTTAAAATACAGGCAGTCAAGATACTTCTACTATTAGCGATGGAAGCAGCCATGCATATATCTATGTAATTAGTAAATAATGATAATTGTACCTTTTGCGACATGTCTAGAGTCTCGCTTTGATTTGCAGGCAGGCTAGCCGATGTGTGAATAGATGCCGTGGCGTCTTGAGGGTTCCCATTCCTCTACCATAGCAACCTAGCAAACTGTGTGCTCGAGAGAGTGCTTTGCCCCCGGCGGCTCGTGAGGTTGCTGCGAGCTACACAGCATTGCACCGGCCGGAGTGCTAGGTAATTGCTGGATCGGCAGCAGTGGAAATGCAGCCGGTGCAGCGAGTGATGCAGTCTGACCACACGGTTCGATTGACTGGGAGCGATGAAAGCAGATTAATATTGAGCGATTAATGAGATCTCTCGCCAATCTGTCACTAATTTAATGGGTCAGAAATAAGGATGTGCAAACTATGCAATAGATAGGATGGGGATCAGTCAGAAATCAGAATCCTTGAGACTCACGGCTGGGTTTGCGATGTGCGCCCTCTAGTAAGATACTTGCCCGCACGCATCTGGCTCGGCCCGGGCAGTGCTAGAGGTGGCGGGTTAGAGGCAGGCGTGCAGCCACTGACCCGGCAGAAGCCTGATTTTAGAAAGCATACCTGGTTGATCAATGGTCCTCCAATGACTCAATGATCTGGTCGAAATTTGCTCGACAGCGTTCCAAGGATGCTGATGGATAATTGTTGCTGTTGGTCTCCCCTGGTGACCCCTTCGTGTGAGTAGAACAGGCACATCATGTCTGACTTATGCTGTCTTCTTATGTATGTATTCCTCATCAGACATTTCCCGGCTAAGAGAACAATAATGAATGATTAAGTATCCGTTGTTGACCCTAAACAAATACTACGTCTTTCCATTTCAATGTACCATCGATACGTTTCCTTTTTCGTCTCCTGGTGCCTTCCCGCAAGATAGGTAAAGAAGCTCTTTGCAGTACACCATCTCATCCCTCTGGGACTCCTACAGTACCCAGTAAACAAGTCAATAAGCAGCCAGTAAATAAACTCAGAAATCAGGGCTTTCTGGTGGATCATGCACAAAGTGAATCAACAAGAGGAAGCTAGACGACAGGGGTAATCGTATATGTCCAGATGAGAATCAATTAATTAAACTTAAAGTTGAAACGTTGAAGACCCAACATGCAAGTATCGTCTTAATATTTCAATAAAATTTCAAAAAACCTTGGGGTGTCTTTTAATTCGAGTTACTCTCAAGCCATGAATTGTGATAAGTATCTAAAATCAATGAAACACATAAAAAGGGAAAAGAATTTGGAGATGATGCAAATGACTTGACTGGAATAGTCTTAAGATCTAATCTGTCAGGGCAACGCATACACCTAGGTTATTGGCCATCACTTATTTCTCAGTACTGCTAATATCACAGTGCCTTAGCACACAGAAGGATTCTCTCATATATATGTACTGAACTAAATGAATAAATGGACTCAGTGATTGATCCACTGTAATCGTATGATGGCTATGTCATCTGACTTTAAAACCGAAGTCAATTTTTACTTCATTGAAAAGTGCTCATAACCATTAAAGGCGTATTCACAAAGTCTTTAATGTGCAGCTGCAAATTGTCCATGTACTCAGGGAAATTTCCAAAAAAAGTGACACGATATTCCCTACCTGCCTCAGGTCCTGCTCTCCAGAACCGGACAGATCTCTTGTGTCAGCTTTTCCAAACTTGCTTCTCCTTTCCTCTCACACACTTATTGCAGTTGTAATTCTGTTTATCTCGCACCTTAACTTCAATGTCTCCCCCACCTGAAGTGCTGGTGCTATTAAAGCAGACATCACATCTGATTCTACATATACACAAAAACTCCAGCAGATTACGAGAACATTAAGTAATCTTATTGATGAATGTTATTATTCGGGTAATTATTTGAGACCAACGGAACAGAGTTATAGCTGCAGTTTCCCACTAAGGAACTGGTGTAAAGAGCTAGACTCATGTCCAGCTCCCTGAGTTAGAATCCCAGTTTTTACCCAATTACAGATCCTTGGGTAAATCCATTTAATCACTAACCTGTGTCACAATTTGTAAAAGTGCGACCACCCATCTATCTCACAGGATAGTTCATACAATATAGTTGAAAGAAACACAACGAGGTGTTTAGTACAGTGCTGGGCTAATAGCCAAGGTGTCAAATTTTAACTTATTACTATTGTTATGGGGGCACCTAAAGGGATGCTCTATCAAAGAGAACAATACGATAACACAGGACTTCAGCGCTCACTGGGACCCAGTGCTTGCCTTCACGGACAGTCTCAGGAAGGACAATCGAGTGAGATACACACAGACTTCGGACTCAAGCAGGGCGGAGAGCGAGGACGCGCCAGGTAGAAACAACGCCCGTGGGAAGGCACAGGAGGGTGGACGCGGAAGCTTCCCCAGAGATGACATCTGGAAAGGCTCTCAAGGCATGGATGGGAAGACAGGGATCCCAACCACCTCTTTGTTCTTCGTAAGGCAAAAGCCCTCGCCGCGGACTTTCCTTGGACCCGTACTTTTGGGAGGCGAGCCCCCGGCCAGACCGACGCAGGGAAGGCGGCGATGGCCCGGGACTCACCGGCGGCGCTGAAAGCCGAAGCCGGCGGATGGCGCGAGTGTTCGCGAGCTCCAGTCGGATGACAACCAGTGAACACACTCAGTAGGGCAAGCGCTGGCCGGCGGCGGGCCCGGCGGTCAGGCGACTGGGAGGCAAGCCGAGAGGTGAGCGCGCCTGGGCTGGCAGCGCCGCCACCGCCCTCAGCGCGCCCGCGCCTCAGACAGCAAGCAGCAGCAGCAACTTCAACGGCAGCTCTCAGAGCCACAACAACCTTCTACTGTCCGCCTCCCGGCGCCCGTCGTGACCCGTTGGGGTCGACGCAATGCGCGCACGAGCGCGCTGCCCGATTGGCGGCGCGGCACGGAGGAGATCCTAAGAGCCTTCTGGGTGGGTCTCGAAGAGGTCAGAAGCAAGGACATCTTTGAGTTGCTGTTGCTCGGCGCCCCTCCTTAGGCTCTCGGTGGGTTTCGCCCAGGCCCTAGTTACACATCTGCCCCCGGAGAGCCTCGTCCTAGGCCATCTCCGGCCGTGGACGGGTGGGGTCCCTGTCGCGCAGGTCTCGGAATTGTCCGAGGTAACCTGTCCTGTGTGGAGCTTTTTGTCCTCTTTTCATAGCGTTTTAACCCCTCGCTGTACCTTAGGAAGGTTGCTTTGATTTAGCCCGCCCCTCTGCGGGAAATCGCTGAGTGAGGCTGCAGCTGGTAAGTTGATCTCAGGGCCCCATGGATTGCAGACTCCATGCAGGGTTTCTGACGTCTTCCTATTAAGCGTCAGCCTAGCTCGAAGCAACCTCCAGACTGTTCCTAGCGAGCTGGGCTGGGTAAAATCGCAGCCCATCCTCCTGCCTGCTGTCAGCTTCCGGATAGATCTCAGAGTCAAGCTAGCCTGGGCACGCATCACTTCTACACAAGGCATGCGCCTAGCTTGACTGAGCGACTTGCGCTAGGCAACTGCTTTGTGGTTATGGTGAATACTTACAATTGGCGGTATCATATTAGCGATGGCAATTAATTTTGTCATTCCATGCTGTTCTTGCCCCGTATATTGCGCTTTGATGTCATTTCAGGTATGGACGACCAGTTGTGCGATCTCGAGCTAGTCATTGCATAAAGTTGGGATATTATGTAATACTTTGCTTCACGTGCTCTAGGTTTTGGATCTGTGAACGCGGTTGTTCGAGAGGATGAGAGCTGAACACTGGCTCGCGCTCACAGAGAGACTTAGGGCAGTTAAGCGGTATGTAGAGAAGACCAATTGCCATTGCTGTCACACCGGGCCTTTTATCCTAAATGAAGTATATAATTAGGGCTATGAGGTATTCGGTTCGCCTGGTGGGAGCTAATCCACTGTTATCATCAGCTCCCAGCTACTCGGTCGAACTGTGAGCATACAGAGCTCATTTTCAGGCCGATGAGGCAGGAAGGCATCGCTCTTGAGGCCTACTATGAGGTTTTGATAATTCGCCGTGACAGGTTGCTATTCTTAGTTGTATGTGTATAATGGTACATATGTAAGATACACATCACGGTACAGTATGTCTGTACCGTCTGATAGGAGCAGCGACTGTGTAGTATATCTTACTATATGTGTATAAACATGACACATCGGTATAGGGTGAGCCTGTGGATGATGCAGCAGTACTATCACTCGCTATGGTCCTGAGCATCAGCGTTGAGGGCTCTGTTCTCAAAGAAATGAGGACGATAGCAGGACAAGATCTCCTAGGTGTGAAGTTTCGCATGGATCTTCGGAGTTTGAGGTTGCTGTGAGCTAGGCTAACGCCACGGCACTCTAGCCCAGGCAAGAGAGTGAGACTCTCTTAATAAATAAATGAATGAATGAATGTATGTATGTATGTATGTATGTTAGGATTTTGGCAGCAGTCTCCCTTCCTAGAATGTCAGCTCCATGAGGACAGAGATCTTTGTTTTGTTCTCCACTGTATTCCCAATACCTACCACAGTGTTGGCAATATGGGAGGTGCTCAATCAATATTTGCTGAATGAATGAATAAATAAATGAAAATCTTACCAATTTAAATTATTTGCATAGAGCCATAATGTTGAGAACATCTTGGCCAAGAGTCAAAAAGCAACAGGAAAACTATTGTTAAAAGAAAAAAAAATTATTGCTGGTGGATGAAGAGTGAGGCTTATACACAGTGTTTTTGTAGGGTGCCAGCCTCCCAGTGATGGACCTGACTGAGCTCCCCAAGTGCACGGTATGTCTGGAGCGCATGGATGAGTCCGTGAATGGCATTCTCACCACCTTATGCAACCACAGCTTCCACAGCCAGTGTCTACAGCGCTGGGACGACACGACGTGAGTGCAGGGGCCGTCCTCCACTGTCTCAGAGCCCATTCTGACCCGTTCCAGAATTAAAAATAGCCACCACCAAAAATGAACCACTCCAAGTATTTGACTTTATAAACCTGGCACCATGATAATAAGAGGTCACACGGAAGGGCCTTCCATTTTTCTCTTTCCCTTTCCTTGGTTCACGGTTCACCAGGTCCTTTTCAGTATGCTGATTCTGAATCCTTACAGAATTCCCCAAAGCAGCATGAGTTGTTTTTTCCTTCCAAGAACTGGAAAAGGAAAAAGCAAAAGCAAAGCTTAGCTTTGAGGCTCTTATGCTAAAATGAAATCTAGGTCTGTAATCTCAGTTGTCACCTGCACTTGGTATCTGCCATTCACTTTGGCTTTCTTATCAATAAGGCTACAGCAACCTAATGTTTTATCTTTGTTAAGCTGTGGATGGCTTGGTGGCCAGTAGTAATAGCAGTGACTAAGTATGAGGCCTACCCTACAGTCTCCTGATTCCCAGTGCATCAGAGGCCTTAGTTGTAGGTGACATTGCCACAAAGAACTGAGGTGGAGCCTATACCTTTTATTTTTTTTCCCCTAAATCAGGAGTGGTTGCTTTCTTTGCAAACTGCACTGTGGCACTTAACTAGAAAGATACATTATGCGCTGGCTTCATGGGTTTCCCAATATGGAGAGGAAGACGGAGAATCTGATAATCACACAAATAAATAAATCACAGTTATAACTAGTATTCCAAAGGAGCAGCGTGCAGTATTGTGATGCAGCCAGGCCCACCTGAGAAGTGGCGTCTCAGGGAGGATAAGTAGGAAGTAGCTGGATAAAGGGCAGAACCAAGAACCAAAAACCAAGCCAGGGCCAGGCGCGGTGGCTCACGCCTGTAATCCTAGCTCTCTGGGAGGCCGAGGCGGGTGGATTGCTCAAGGTCAGGAGTTCATAACCAGCCTGAGCAAGAGCGAGACCCCATCTCTACTATAAATAAAAAGAAATTAATTGGCCAGCTCATATATATAGAAAAAATTAGCCAGGCATGGTGGCGCATGCCTGTTATCCCAACTACTTGGGAGGCTGAGGCAGAAGGATTGCTTGAGCCCAGGAGTTTGAGGTTGCTGTGAGCTAGGCTGACGCCATGGCACTCACTCTAGCCTAGGCAACAAAGCAAGACTCTACCTCAAAAAAAAAAAAAAAAAAAAACACAAGCCAGGCAGTGTGGGGAATGGGGTGGGGGGAGGTGTGTGCACAGGAAGGGGAAGATCACATTCCAAAGCCCAGAGGTTAGGAGGGCTGAAAGTCCACATGAATCTCTATTCTCCCCCTACACATGCCCTCTTGGCTAGACGAAGAACACCAGCTTTCACAGAGCAGGAACCTTGCCTGGGTGGCTCAGTGCTGTGCCCCTTATACCTGGCGGGATACCTGGTGCACAGTAGGGGCTTAGTAAATATTGGTGAGCAGATAAACTGAGTTTCTGTGGCTTATTTAGCAAGACAAGAATCTTGCTGCAATTCCATAGAGTCCTTAGTCAATAATTCTGGGGTATCATTTGGGAATTTTTCAAAGAATTGTCCAGTTACCTTGAATAAAGCCACACTGAAATGGGTGTACTCCATAAAGTTCATCTGTAGCTCAGGTCCATCTGCTGTACTGTTTGAGTTCTGGGCACTTGTTTATCCCCCCCCACTCCAATTTTACTTGCAGTATACATTAACTGTCATAGAACCACAACATTTTAAGTTGGAAATTTCCTCAGAGACCATCTTGTCCAACCTTATTTTATGGACGAGGAAACTGAGGCCCAGAGGTGAGAATTAGCATGCTTAGAGTGTCATGGCCAGAGAATGTGAGACTAGGACTAGAATTCAACCTGTCACATGGGGTGTAAGGCATGGCACGTGCCTTCAAAAGCATGCAGTTCACTTAGCCAGTGGGTTTAGAGCCTCCGTATGTTCACGGTACAATGCAAGGCACTGAAGGAGAGGAAACAAACCCAGGTCCTCTCCAGGGAAGTTCAAAGTTCAGTCTACAGGAGTGTCTAAATCCCTTTGATTCGTGGTAGAGACTGCAGGTGAGAGAGACGGGGTCCCCAGCAGAGATGCTCAGGAAGGGCTGCTGCAGGAGGCAGTGTTGGTACCAGGTTTTTTTACATGTGGAGATGTCAGGGAAGGCCATTCTGGGAAGGTTTTCCAAAGATCTCATCAGGAAAATAACATCAAAACTCAAAAATTTTTTGGAAGGATTTAATAAACTATTTTTTGTAGACAGATAAGATGAGTGCTAATTGAATATAGTACATATAAGTTTATTTTTATATTCTTTTTCCCTTTTTTATTCTCAGGATCAGATTTACATTTCAGAAAGATCATTCTGGCACAATGTAGAGAATTAGATTGCAGGATTAGTTTGTTGTTTTCTTACCCACCTGCTGCCATAGCCACCACACAAACAGAAGGGATGACACAAAGCGTTTCTGCCTCTGACAAGACTGCTTTCCACTTACTAGATACCATTTCTGTTATTTCTTCAAGATTATCTTCTGTCTTTCTTTTTTTTTTTTTTTTCAGAGTCTCACTCTGTTGCCTGGGCTAGAGTGCCCGTGGCATCAGCCTAGCTCACAGCAACCTCAAACTCCTGGGCTCAAGCAATCCTTCTGCCTCAGCCTCCTGAGTAGCTGGGACTACAGGCATGCACAACCATGCCCAGCTAATTTTTTTAGCTGGCCAATTAATTTCTTTCTATTTATAGTAGAGACAGGGTCTCGATCTTGTTCAGCTGGTTTCAAACTCCTGACTTAAAGCAGTCCGCCTGCCTTGGCCTCCCAGAGTGCTAGGATTACAGGCGTGAGCCACTGCATGCAACGTGTCTTCTTTGATACTAAAGAAAAAGGCAGATTGGATCCTTTAGCTTTCTCTTAGGAAACACAAATAGAGCCTCCTCACCTGTGACAAGAACTTAGTGTTCTTCCTGCTTATTTCCTTTTCTTGGTTTCATTTACTCAGTTGGGTAGCAGACTGATACTAATTATATCTTGAGCATTTATTCATCTTGGTGCCAATTCAGTTAGCCTCAACTATAACCTACTTTGTGTCATATTTGCCCATCTGACAAAAACATTCATGACTGACTTATCTTTACTTTGGAGTATAATAAAAGGGTTAATGGATTTTTTTCAGTGTCATTTTTATTGGCTATTTGTAAATCGAAACTTGAATACTTGGTAGAGCTTTGGTATCTTCTGCATTATGTTCATCGTATGGTGAAATGTCATGTGCCTTGCAGGAAGCACATTAACACCTTTTTTTTTGTTGTTAATTTGGTAAAATGTACTATATATTTTAGGTCCAACTCTGAGGAGAAACCTAGAAAGGACAGGGTACATTTTCAATGATCTAAATCTTTGGGAAATGGAGATAAGGTAGATTGTTTTGAGTAAAATACATTATAGATAACCAGACATGAAATCAAGTCCTAATTCTAACCTGCAAATATTCAGCTCTTTGATCATTTAAGTTTTTTTCTTTTTTTTTTTTCAAAACGTGTAGGATGGCAAAGATCATCTGAGCTTTAGACAGAAGAGTGGAAAAGGATATGAGGCAGATCACAATTTCTCCCATTGTTTTGCTTTATCTAGATTTTGTGTATTTTCATTTTGTTTTGAGAATAGCCCCCCAAATGTTTATATCTTTTAAGTGATATCTTTAGTTATGATAAATTTAAAAATAGCAATTAGGGAGGATATAAAATCCAGTTTTGACTTTTGGGTTCTGTAACAACTGTCTTTTATATTTAACCTGCACCATTGTCTTTTGGTGTCCTGGATATAGGTGTCCCGTTTGCCGGTACTGTCAAACACCAGAGCCAGTAGAAGAAAATAAGTGTTTTGAGTGTGGTGTTCAGGAAGTAAGTAATGGGTGATGGAAAAGAATAATGAACGTAGCTTTAATTGTCTGGTGTTTTCTTCTGCTTAAATTTTTTACCTTTAAATTCTTTCGAGGCTGATTTTTTTCCCCTTGTCTAGGGTCAGTTAAGACATATGAATACACAAATTTTGTTACTCCTAAGCAAAATAAATACCTTATGCTTTTATTCTTTGTTCTTTTAAAAAGCTTAGATGTTTACTGATAAATTGTGAGTCTTTTTCTTGCTATTTACATAGAGCTATTTAGAAATTAGAGCAAGAAAACGAGTGACCCATAAAGGCATCCTTTGAGACTTGGTCTTGCTCTGTTGCCCAGGTTGTAGTCCAGTGGTCGATTATAGCTCATTTCAACCTCAGACTCCTGGGCTCAAGTGATCCTCCTACCTCGGTCTCCCAAAGTGCTAGGATTACAGGCATGAGCCACCCCACCCAGACGATTTTTGGGTTTAAAATGTATATTTATTCAAAACTCTTGTAAAAAAACTATAAATCTCATTCTATACCAAGCCCCTTTCCACCCCGAGAGGTCCAGGTCCTGTATTTTTATTTAACTAATTAAGATCTTACCTCCTTCTGACAGAACCTTTGGATTTGTTTAATATGCGGCCACATAGGCTGTGGACGATACGTAAGTCGACATGCTTATAAGCACTTTGAGGAAACGCAGCACACCTACGCCATGCAGCTCACCAACCATCGGGTCTGGGACTATGCTGGAGGTGAACACTGCTCTCGTTTTCTAATTTGGATTCATTCTGTGTAGAAACTTCCTTCGCAACCTCACCACTTTCCCTCACTGCTTGAAATGTCATCTTCCTGATAGTCTTGACAAACTCAGATTCTCACAAGTGCCCAAGGGCACCATTTCCTAGAATTGGCCTGAACCACACATTTTATAAAGAAACGGTTAATACTTCCACTCTTGTCCTCTCCTTCCCCTTTAAAAGTTGAATGATTTGACCCACTTTTAAAGCAGGATTGCAAGGCATTTAATTTAGATCTGTTAAAAAAAATTTAGATCTGTAAAAACAAAAATTTTTCAGTTGAGAAATCTGCAGTTAAAAGAAAAAAAAAAAAACAAAAAAAACCCAAAAATTTTGTCAGAATTAAAAGCATATGGAGACCCTTTTCCTTCTGAAGAAGCATGCTTTCATTGACTCATTCTTTTCTTCAGATAATTATGTCCATCGACTGGTTGCAAGTAAAACAGATGGAAAAATAGTACAGTATGAATGTGAGGGTGACACCTGCCAGGAAGAGAAAATAGATGCCTTACAATTAGAGGTAAGATGTTTTATGAGTTATCACTCACCACCTATTTCTATTGCTGTTTACTGTTCTAACTTGAAAGGGTGTTTGGGCTTTTAATTTTGCCATTTACCCTGCATATAAATATTTATTTTAAAACATTTTTAAACTCTTTTTTTCTTTTTTTTTTTCCTATTTACATCTTTATTTATGCTCAAACCTTTTTTTTTTTTTAAGTTCTACAGTTGCTGTGAAGGATTATTTTTTTTATTCTGTTTTTCTTCTTTGAAAGTATAAGTTTCACCACACCGTGCCTTATTATTTTCAATATGGTATTCCTAGTTGTCTCAAGTTCAGTATTAAGGTTGTTTTCTATAGGGGCAGTAAAACTGAAAGTTAAGAATGTTCTATTAGGGTCAGGCGTGGTGGCTCACAGCTGTCATCCTAGCATTCTGGGATGCCAAGGTGGGAGGATCCCTTGAAGTCAGGAGTTCAAGACCAGCCTGAGCAAGAGTGAGACCCCATCCCTACTAAAGATAGAAAAAGTAGCCAGGCATGGTGGCATGCTCCTGTAGTCCCAGCTACTTGGGAGGCTGAGGCAGGAGGATTACTTGAGCCCGGGAGTTTGAGGTCGCTGTGAGCTAGGCTGATACCATGGCATTCTAGCCTGGGCAACAGAGTGAGACTCTGTCTCAAAAAAAAAAAAAAAATTTAATTTTTTTGTAGAGACATAGTCTCACTGTTGCCCATAGTCTCACTGTTGTCCAGCCTCCTGGACTCAAGCAGTCCTTCAGTCTCCCAAAGTGCCTAGGATTACAGGCGTGAGCCAGTGCACCCAGCCTCTGGTTCTTCTTAAAGTCAGTTTGATAAAAATAAAGTTTTTTATAAGTACATTTCTCTCAATTAGATTGTAAGCCCCAAGAGGACAGAAGTGTAATTGTCATTTCTATGTCGTTCCCCCCCCCCTTTCCAGGGCTTGTTGAATAGAGTAGAATCAAGGTGTTTTATACATTTTTATTTTTTATATTTTTTTTTCTTTTCTTTTACAGTTCATTCAGCATCAGAATGTTTTATACATTTTGATGGTTACTTTTAGGCTTCTATAGACCATTAAGGGTCAGATTTTTTTTTTTTTTTTTTTTTGACACAGAGTCTCACTCTGCTGCCCGGGCTAGAGTGCTATGGTGTCAGCCTAGCTCACAGCAACCTCCAACTCCTGGGCTCAAGTGATCCTACTGCCTCAGCTTCCTGAGTAGGCATGAGCCACCATGCCAGGATAATTTTTTCTATATATTTTTAGTTAGCCAATTAATTTCTTTTTCTATTTTTAGTAGAGACAGTCTTGCTCTTACTCAGGCTGGTCTTGAACTCCTGATCTTAAGTGATCCTCCCGTCTTGGCCTCCCAGAGTGCTAGGATTAAAGGCATGAGCTACCGTGCCTGGCCTAAAGGTCAGATTTTAATTGGATTTCAAAGACTGACAACAGTGACATTTTGGTGTTTATTCTGTCTGTTTCTAGTATTCATATTTACTAACAAGCCAGCTGGAATCTCAGCGAATCTACTGGGAAAACAAGATAGTTCGGATAGAGAAGGACACAGCAGAGGAAGTAAGTCTCTGGTTTGGTGACTGCCGAAATACCACATTGCAGGGCAGTCTGCTGGTGGGATGGGGGAGGCAGCGTATAGGGAAAAAAATCGTAGAATCTTCCCTTCTCAGTCTAATAACAGGTGGAGAACTGTTTTGTCTCTAAAAAGAAACCTTGGCTTTAAAGGCTCGTGTGTTTGGTATTTTGTGATCATAAAGGGGTTTTGTTTTTTTAATCTCAAGCAGGTTTTCTAATGCCTTATGTAATTCCATTTAAAAAATATATAAGTATGGGCTGGGCTTGGTGGCTCACACCTGTAATCCTAGCACTCTGGGAGGCTGAGGCAAGAGGATTGCTTGAGCTCAGGGGTTCGAGACCAGCCTGAGCAAGAGCAAGACCCCGTCCCTACTATAAATAGAAAGAAATCAATTGGCCAACTAAAATATATAGAAAAAGGGGGGAGGGAGGGCATGGGCAATATATGTAACCTTAACACTTGTACCTCCATAAAATAAAAACAAAACAAAACAAACAAACAAAATATATAGAAAAAAAATTAGCCAAGAAAGAAAGAAAGAAAGAAAAGAAAAGAAAAGAAAAGAAAAGAAAAGAAAAGAAAAGAAAAGAAAGAAAGAAATGAGCCAAACAATTAAAAATAGAAAAAAAATTAGCCGGGCATGGTGGACATGCCTGTAGTCCCAGCTACTCAGGAGGCTGAGGCAGAAGGATTGCTTGAGCCCAGGAGTTTGAGGTTGCTGTGAGCTAGCCTGACCCCATGGGACTGTAGCCCGGGCAAAACAGTGAGACTGTCTCAAAAAAAAAAAAAATTAAAAATTAAAAAATAAATAAAAATACAAGTACATACACGTGAGTTTGTAATTTGAGTTTTTCAACTTGGAAACAGTTACTTTTAGAAGCTGACTGTGGACTTCTGAGGTGCTGATATGGTCTGAGCACTTCTAAATTGAAGGAAATAAAATTGGGCAGAGATGTTGGAGCTTCAGTGTTCACCCTGAAGGTCTTGGGCAGCAGCTTTCAAATTTTAACTAACTAGTCCTTTAAAGAAGATGCCATTTCCTACTTCTACATCATAGTAAAAGAGAAAAGTTGTATGACTCTGCCTGCTTGATTTTCCTGTCTCCAGCATGGACAAGGAACACTGAGAAAGAAGGTGAACACCTGAGGGTTTGTATATAATTAGGGCTCTAGGAACCATTCTCTGGACTTAGGGACAGTGTGTGTAATTCAGTGATTCCCTTAATATCAAATAAAGGCTTTTAAAATTTCTTAGTGATGACTTGAGTAACTTTGTGAGTTACCACTGATATCTGGGCCTCAGATGGAGGCTGCAGAGCCGGTTTGGAGTCCACCCTGCGATGCTAGAGTTATCCTGGAGCTTAGTGGTCAGGGCCATGAACCTGTTTCTGGGTATGCCTATAAATGGAAGACATCAAGTTTTTTAAAATATTAATGCTTAACACCAGCTTTAAAATGATTTCTAGTTAAAAGTTATTGATGGGCCTGGCTTGGTGGCTTCCGCCTGTAATCCTAGCACTCTGGGAGGCCAAGGCGGGAGGATCACTCAAGGTCAGGAGTTCAAAACCAGCCTGAGCAAGAGCGAGACCCCGTCTCTACTAAAAATAGAAAGAAATTAATTGGCCAACTAAAAATATACGGAAAAAATTAGCCGGGCATGGTGGTGCCTGCTTGTAGTCCCAGCTACTCCGCAGGCTGAGGCAGGAGGATCGCTTGAGCCCAAGAGTTTGAGGTTGCTCTGAGCTAGGCTGATGCCACGGCACTCTAGCCTGTGCAATAGAGTGAGAATTTGTCTCAAAAAAAAAGTTATTGATGAAATTCTTACAAGAACCTTCAAAGCAATGGAAGTGTCTTTCCAGAGGTGCTCAAGGTCACCTGACTTATTAACAAGTTCTGAACAGGGCTCGATTGGAGTACGTGCAGGGAAGGATGAACCTCCGAGGAGGGTGCACGGTTGAGGCAAAGCACTGGCGGTTGCCACTTGGTGTCAAGTAACGGACTCCGGGAGGTGCAAACCCATTTTTTTTCCAGCATATTATTGGGGTACAAATGTTAAGGTTACGTATATTGCCCATGTCCCCCCTCCCCCTGTGCAGACCCTTGAGAGCTGAGCTCAGGATTCTCTCTGCCCTTTAAGATTCTTTTTTTTTTTTTTATTTTAGGAAGAAATCAGCGAAAGAATAATTTTTTAATTAATTTATTTTTTAGAGACAAGGTCTCACTATGTCACCCAGACTGGTCCCCAACTCCTGGGCTCAAGCAGTCCTCCCATCTCAGCCTCCCAAAGTGCTAGGATAACAGGTGAGAGCCACAACACGTGGCCTGCTCTTTAAGGTTCTTTAGGATTTATTGCATTCCCTAAGACATGCCAAGTGAAAAACAAGTTAAGGGGCAGGGAAACAAAAAACTGCAAAACTCATGTTTGCTTTTAGGTAGGGGTAAGATGTAGGCAAGAGCAGCTCTAAATAGAAAGCTCTGAAGGGCTTGAAAGGATGCTTTTGTTTTCTAATAACAAATGTTGTTTATCCATAAGTCCATGGGTGATGCAAGCCTTTTGTCCCACTCCTGTCCATTAGCGCGCTGAGCCCAGAGCATGTGCAGGGAGAAACAGGAATCTAGACCCAGGGTCCTGTTGGCAGAGATTCCTGTTCATGGCCTCATAAAAAACTAATGTGGGGAGGGAAGTAGATCAAGGTTGAAATTCATGGTGGACTTCATGTATACATACTATTTATTTCCACCAGTGGTTTAAGTATATACAATTATTATACCATGTGAATGGAGTCTGTTCTAGAAAATGAAGCTCATAGCCACTTGAATGCTTTTGGTTTTCTTGGGGCCATGTACGAAAAACACATAGTAGGTAGTCAGTACTGGTGAAGTCCCCTAATGATATTTCTCAGTATTTTTATTGACCAAAACATATAGAGCTTGGTTCCTATTGATAGTAATTTCTGTCCTTCCCAACTTCCTTAAACAACAGGAGTCAGTTTAGTAGGAAATGTCAAAAGGATCTAGTGGTCTCGTATTTTAGAATAATATTGAAGAGAAAATTAATAACAAACTAGAATTAGAGCAATTATAAAGCTATTTTGATTTTCATGACATAGAGGAACTTTTAGAAATCTTCCTTACATGTTTTTCCAATGATCGTTTTTAATGAGGTTGTTTTTAATGAGGTTGGCTATAAAGTTAATTTCTACAAAACAGTTACTTATTTTTTTAAAACCAGCACTATTTAGAGATCTGCTAGGTAGGCTGTATGGAAAATGTTTAAAAAGAAGGGTTAAAAGTGATGACCCTTTCTCTGCCATGATGGATTCTGCATGCATCACATACACGATCTCTACTAATAGTTTAGATCTAGCCAGGAAGTCACTTTTCCTTTGCTACAGAGCTTTGGCCTCCAGTGTAGCACAGAGAAGACTTTAGAAGTTGGCTTTGGACCCAGACTTTGGGTCCAGTCCTGGATCCACCATACTCTAGCTGGATGACGTTGGACATACTGACTCCCCTTTTTCTAAGCTTCAGTTTGTGTCAAAAGTTGACTTACTGGCCTGGCACTCTGGGAGGCCGAGGCGGGTGGATCGCTCAAGGTCAGGAGTTTGAAACCAGCCTGAGAAAGAGTGAGACCCCCTCTTACTAAAAATAGAAAGAAATTAATTGGCCAACTAAAAATATCTAGAAAATATTAGCCGGACATGGTGGCGCATGCCTGTAGTCCCAGCTACTCAGGAGGCTGAGGCAGTAGGATTGCTTGAGCCTAGGACTTTGAGGTTGCTGTGAGCTAGGCTGACACCATGGCACTCTAGCCCAGGCAACAGAGTGAGACTGTCTCAAAAAAAGAAAAAAGAAAAAAAAGTTAATTTACCTAAGGCACAGGTTTGTTAAAAGGAATAAACAAGGTCAGGCATGGTGGCTTATGCCTATAATCCAAGCACTTTGGGAGGCCAAGATGGGAGGATCTCTTGAGCCTAGTAGTTGAAGAGCAGCCTGGCCAACATAGTGAGACCTTGTGTCTACAAAAAATTTTTTTAAGAATTAGCATAGTGGCATGAGCCTATAGCCCCAGATACCCAGGAGGCTGAGGTGGGAAGATGAAATGAGCCCAAGCATTTGAGACTGCAGTGAGCTATGATCACACCACTGCACTCCAGCCTGCGCAACAGAGCAAGACCCTGATTTAAAAAAAAAAAAAAAGAAAGAAATGAATGAGATACTGCTGGCAGCAGGGTGAGCAATTCTGCTTGATATTCAGAAGCTCCAGATCCCTTGTTCATCCTGGTATAGAGAAATAGTGAGAAAAAACAGATTTCTTGACACTTTTATTCCTATTACAGAAATTCTATCAAGTGATTATCTCATCTTTTCTAAATGTGGTTTGTCAAGTTATGTGTAGATAATTGGGGGGAAAATTATGATGTTAGCCCCAAGACTACACAATTTTGCCTTTGTGAAATGAATCTGATTTCTGCTTGTTCTTTCAGATTAACAACATGAAGACCAAATTTAAAGAAACAATTGAGAAATGTGATAATCTGGAGCACAGATTAAATGATCTTCTAAAAGAAAAGCAGTCTGTGGAAAGAAAGTAAGTATAATTGGTCTGTTTTTTAAGTTAGCCATTTTATTGTAACAGGCTCTATAAACAGATAATTTCCTTCATTCCTATGGAAACACCCTCATTTAAAGTGTATGTATCACCAGGTGTTCAGGGGTCCCTCTATAGGTGGAGCAAACTTACTGTGACTTCTTGTTTATTAAAAAATGTGGGCCAGTTGGGTGCAGTGGCTCATGCCCATAATCCCAGCCCTTTGGGAGGCCAAAGTGGGAGGATCACTTTTGGCCAGGAGTTCAAGAGCAGCCTGGGCAACATAGACCTTGTCTCTACAAAAAAATTAAAAAATTACTTGGGCGTGGTGGTGCGCACCTAAAGTCCCAGCTACATGAGAGGCTGAGGCAGCAGGATTGCTTGAGCCCAGGAGTCTGAGGTTACAGTGAAGCCTGTGTAACAGAGTGAGATCCTGTCTCAAAAAAAAAAAAAAAAAAATGCCACGTTTTATGCCAGATGGATGCCATGTGGAACATAGCACTCTGTCTGGATAGCTGTGTGCTTTCGGTGTATGCAAATGTCTTCCATTTTTGCCTGTAGAAAGCAATTTCTTTGCATCCAGAACCTTCAGCTTCTCTGAAATGTGGTGGCTGAGAACTGGCAGTTAGGAGACTGTGTCTAACCTGGAGGTTTTATATGCTATGGCCTTATGCAGAAATTAAAGGCCAAAAGTGTTGAGTATGAAGCAAAAAACCTCATAAAACAGTATGGCAAGAACATTATTTGGGAAGATAAAATTTTTGTTGATTAAAATTACTTTTCTGGTTTAAGTTATACTCACAAAAATAATTGGCTTTTTACCGCCAAAGAAATGGATGGAAAATAAATTAAAGGAGGATAATTAGTCCTTGGAAAGTTTTGTGTTTTTTAAATAAATCTTTTATTTTGGAATAAGTTTAGATTTACAGAAAAGTTGCACAGATAGTGCAAAGAATTTTCATATGCCCTTCACCCATTTTCACCCATTGTTAAAAGTTTTTTAAATTGTAGTTTTTATATAGAGAGGTAGAAAGAACATAAGATTTGCTGTTTTAACCATTTTTAAATGTACAGTTTAGTGGCATTAAGTACATTTACAATGTTGTATAATAATCACCACTATCCTCAAAATTTTTCATCACTCCAAACAGAACATATCACCAAAAGTTTATTGTAAAAACATTACCACATTAATAAAAATAAAAAATTATCCTATAGTTTCAGCACTTTTATAAATTGAACTGTGTTAAAGAATTACAAAGTAAAAACTAGAAGTTCAGCCAAGTATGAATATTCTTGTTCTTTGTTAGATATGGTGTTTGTTTCTGCTAGGTATACACCCAAGAGTGGAATTGCTGGCTGAGCTTTAGAATATGGCATCATTGGCCAGGCGAGGTAGCTCCTTCTGTAATCCTAGCATTCTGGGAGGGGCCAAGGCAGGAGGATCGCTCAAGATCAGGAGTTCGAAACTAGCCTGAGCAAGAACGAGACCCCGTCTCTACTAAAAATAGAAAGAAATTAATTGGCAAACTAAAAACATATATATAGAAAAAATTAGCCAGGCATGGTAACACATCCCTGTACTCCCAGCTACTTGGGAGGCTGAGGCAGGATTGCTTGAGTCCAGGAGTTAGAGGTTGCTGTGAGCTAGGCTGATGCCACAACACTCTAGCCTGGGCAACAGAGTGAGACTTGGACACAATAAAAGAAAAACAACTAGAAGTTCTTTCATCCCCTAAATCATGCTATCTGGAGGTAACCATTATAAACCATACCAGTGAATATTAATTATTCTTCCAGATCTTTAGCTCTGCCTGCATAAATATCTAGATACATAAATCTTTTTCTGCAAAAATAGAATAGTAGGTATTCCCCCTGGTAAAATATTCCATTTTAGAGATTTTTTTCTTGCTGGCACATCTAGATCTGTGCTGATCTTTGGAGCAGCTGCATGGTATTCCACTGTGTGCATGTACCAGACATTTGTCTTGAGTCTTACACTACTGCAGGCATTGTTGTAATGAGCATCTTTGTCCATGTGTCTTTTGGCACAGTCCCGAGTATATCTATTCTATAAGATAAATTCCTAGAATTAAAATAGCTGTGGCAAAGGCGTACAAATGTTTTATTTTTATAGATATTGCCAAGTCGACATCCAAAGAGTTTGTACCACTTCATGCTCTAGTGCCAGTGTATAGGAGTGCCTCTTTTCCCATGTCTGAGATCTTTGGCATTCTGATACATAAAAATGGTATCTCAAATGTTGTTTTAATTTGTAATTCCTCACTTATGAGTAGGATTGAGGATCAAAAATAGGGCACTCCCAATTCTTAAAACCCTTTTGTTAGAATAAGCACCTTTTTTTCTTCTCCAGCAAATGTAGTGAGGTCAGAGCACTTGACTCTCCAAGAATGTCACTTTTCCTCATAACTTCCTTATCATAGCTGTCATCTCTAAGACACCTATTTAACCAGTGACTGCAAAACAGAGAAGCAGTTGAAGTTTACCATGAGTCACAGAATAGTTTGTGCTGTTGAAAAATGTATGATGCTCAAAAAAAAGTGTCTTGAAGGTATATTTGTGTTAACTAGAGCAAAATTCTTGCTTTGCGTAGCTGATTACATTGGCAGCAAACCAATCAATCTCCCTCACCACTCGAGAAAGGGGTCCGTCCTAAATGGATTCTGAGGTCATGGCTTCTCGTTCAATCCCAGAGCAGACAGGGGACTGTCAGCAAATGAAAAATGTGCTTTTGTCTTCCTTTGTTTTGTAAAAGGTGCACTCAGCTAAACACAAAAGTGGCCAAACTCACCACTGAGCTTAAAGAGGAGCAGGAAATGAACAAGTGTTTGCGAGCCAACCAAGTCCTCCTGCAGAACAAGCTGAAGGAGGAGGAGAGGCTGTTGAAGGAGACCTGTGACCAAAAAGATTTGCAGATCACCGAGATCCAGGAACAGCTGCGAGACGTCATGTTCTACCTGGAGACGCAGCAAAAGATCAACCACCTGCCTGCTGAGACTCGGCAGGAGATCCAGGAGGGACAGATCAACATCGCCATGGCCTCAGCTCCAAGCCCCCCTTCTTCAGGGGGCAGTGGGAAGCTGCCCTCCAGGAAGGGCCGCAGCAAGAGGGGCAAGTGACCTTCAGAGAAACAGACATCCCCGAGACTGTTCCCCTTGGCACAGCGCGGGTGTGCTGGGACCTTCAGCTAATGTGAGGGTGGCCCTAATAACTCCAAGTGAGGATCAAGCCGCAGTCTTTGGCTCTTTCATTTGCTGGTGTGTGGTGTAGTGAATGTAGAGAGAGGGTGCTGACGGGACAGCGGAGGGAAGGGGCAGTGTTTGCAAAGGTGGTAACAGGTCACCGAGCGCAGACATTCTAATGACCGTTTTGCCTTTCTGCTTGGTAGATGCCCCAACTCTGCTATGCATTTTTCCGTTATATTTATGGAGTTGGTGTATTTGACATTCAGTTCTGGGGTAGGTTTAAGACGTTAAAATTTTTTTTTTTGTTACCTTAAAGGTAACAGTTACCTAGCACTAAAGCACCAAACCTCCCTCAGGTCGGAGCAGCTGCTTTAAAGAGAGGTTCCCATTGGCTATTGAGGAGTTAGGAAAATTCCCTAGTATTAGTCTCATATCACTGTGGTCCCTCCCTTCCTCTGGGGAATTGAAGAATTGTTTGAACGTTGTATGAAAAGAGGCTGGGTTGTAAACCAGGCGCTGGCTTGTCACCAGCAGTCATCTCTTCTTGCTGTGGGGCTAGCCAGGAAAAACAAGCCGGGGCATATTGGGTAGCCCCAGTGTAGGAAAAATGGTGGCAGTTCCACTGTTTATTTTTGGTGACTCTGTACGTCATTGTGAACCTCAAATAAGAAGGAGGCTTAATAGCTGCTCCAAGACTCAAATCTCAGAGTGGATTTCCTAGAGTCTAGCAAAAGTAAGCAGGGAGATTTATCATCCATGTGAAAATATAGACTGAGGCCTCTGACTAGCTAATTGTGTATTTTGCTGGGTTCGGTATTTTCTAAATGTTTACAAAAGATTGGGCTGCATGTTCAGGTTGCAGCTAGAGGGAGCTTGGGCAGATTTTCAATTATGCTTTCAAGATATAACCAAAGGCTGTTTCTAAATCCTAAAATTAGAATTTCAACAGAGCCCCCTTTAAGACAGTCTTGTAATGCTTGTTGTGGGCCAACAGAGGGGCCGTGTACTTTCTCTAGAACCATAAACGTCACATAATTCATAACATGCGGTAATTGAGCAAACCTAATGTGAGACCCATGTTGAAATTTAGCTTCCAGAAGAGGTAGATAGGCATTATAATAAGATATACTGTTAAATTGTGGGGTTTTATTTTTTGCTTTATAATTAGCCAAAGGTTTCAAATTATTTCAATTTTGGAATTGTTTTTTAGCCTGTGGTTGGGCCTCATCCCCTTTGCCCTACATGTCTTATATGTTACCTATGTTAACATACCAACTGTATCACCATCCATTTTTGTGGGACGTGCTACAGCACTTCCCAAAACACCTACCTGTAACTTTGCAAAATGAATGTACTCAAACATTCTTCATTTTTACGTAGGGCAGACCAACTCTCTAAGTTCTCCTTGGACTTACATATACAGATATCTTAAAGCAAGAGTGGGAATGTAAAGCATAACCTAATTCTCTTTCCTATAGAGATTCTATTTTATTTAAAATCTATTTTTACACTAGTTAGAATCCTGCTATTTCGGCCAAGTATTTGTCTTGCATGTCTGACCTTGCAGAAGCTGGGGTGGATCGCAGCATACTAATGAAGAGAATTACAAGCAGTTTACAGTGCTCGCTCGCTCCTTGTTTCTCTCTGATCGCCTCCACCAAGGAGCCCTCCCGCCCACTAGGAGAACAGATTTTTTCAGCACAGGTGGGATAAATGCTCTGAAAGGCTGTGCCCAGGGGAATGAGCAAAGAGTCAAATGTTTCCAAACTACTTGAAGGTTTAAGAAATATGTTCCAGGAAAAAAAAATCTTATCAAAATATGTAAAGAAAATTTTTTTAAAAAATGGTCAAAGAGTCATGTTTGAATTCGACAAAATTACATTAGCTAGAAGCTGTTAGTGTTTTCTTCAGGATAGAAATGAACCACTTACTATACCATACTACCTTGAACAATGAAATTAAAATAGCCAAACTTTCAAATTATTCTATCCTGTGTGAACTTTGTCTCTGATTGCCATTTGCCTGGGAGCATGCATCTAATAATCTAAGAAAATGTCAGTGGCCTGGATTTAGAAAACCACATAAAAATCAGCCCCTCAGCTGGACCTGGTGGCTCATGCCTATAATCCAAGCTACCCAGGAGGCTGAGACAGGAGGATCGCTTGAACACAGGAGTTTGAAGCTGCAGTGAGCTACGATCACATCACTGCACTACAGCCTGGGCAACAGAGTGAGAGCCCCATCTCTAAAAAAATTTTAAAAAGCAACCCTGTACAATATAATTTGCAGCTAGATTATTCATCTTTCAGCCCTTTTCCTCCAACTCCCAAGCTAATGAAAAGTAGCTGAACCAGATATAGACTGGAGAAAACTATCTGAATGGGGGTGGAAGGGGAAGACTCAGACACACGACTGTTTTGCAAAGCAAAAGTGGTCAATTTTTACACCTGAGGCTTTTTTCCAGGCCCTACACCAAGCTGAGATTGGGTTTTTTCTTAGAGGGTGAGATAGGCAGCTGTCACAAATGTGGCTTATTAGGATACACTGAGTAATATAAAACAATGAAGCAGCTATCCTCCCCACTTGCACGGCGAAGTTGTCCCCATAAAAAGAGCTGAGAAACTGTTTTCAGCAGCCAGCCAGTAGAGTATGGAGAACTTGGCAAATCACAAATGAACAACCTTCTGTCATCATTTGGAAACCCCTCTCCTAGTGCAGTCAGGATACACAAGCTACAAATACTATCCATAAGATTTGGCTGCAGTACACAATGCCACGTTGCCTGGGCTTGTGCAATGAAGTCCATGGGCTTATCTAAAAAAGGAAAAAGTCACTCTTAACTATGTTGTGTTCTCCAGGATAAAGCTGAATGAACTGCTGCATGGTGATTCTGTGTAGTACTTCTCTCTGGGCAGCAGAAGGGAAATCACAGAATCTCTTAAGAACCAGTTCCTGCTCCTTAAAGGTGTCAAGGGACATCTAATCAACCCAAAGACCTGGCTGTCAAGTTTAGGAAGCTACTGAGTACTCCGTGGCAGGCCTTGCTGCTGGCTGGTCGTTTTCATTCTTGCTTCCCTTCAGGAACCTTCAGGAACCCCTAGAGGCCAAGTGTCCACCTCCCCTGTGCCAGGTGAAGTTGATTTTCACCCCCTAAACACTGTCCTGTGGTCTGCCTGGAGCAAATAAAAAGCATTCTTTGCACCACCTCCCAGTAAAAAAACAAAAGCAAGGACTTCAAGGAAGTTATATAAGGCTGCTTTTGTTTTTTTACTGGGGGGTAGTGGTGGCCTCTCTATCCTGATTAATGTCATAATCAACTCCTTTACACCCTCTTTTCATTTTTTAATGGTAAGCAACCCTACTTCACCTTGCATCCCTGAAACCACGTGGTCTCCCTGGAATGCTCCCAGACACTTAGGACCATAAGTTCTATCACACATTAATTTTTTTTGAGACAGAGTCTTGCTCTGTCACAGGAGTTAGAGTGCTGTGGTATCAGCCTAGCTCACAGCAACCTCAAACTCCTGGGCTCAAGCGATCCTCCTGCCTCAGCCTCCCAGAGTGCCAGGATTACAGGTGTCAGCCACCGCACGCGGCCCCAGACATTAATTTTGAAACCTGTATTTCCAGAAACCAAAACTATTTCAGAATCATTGCAGCTAGTATACTTTTCACACACACTGAGTCTTCTCTCACTGTAATTCTGGAAGCTTAGGAGGACATGAAAGGGGTTCTGCAGTTGGTCTTTAATCTGGATTTTGCATTCTTGCTGCATTAAAGGAAGAGATGAACAATCTGTTTATACAAGATGATTGCAGTCTTTGGGGCCTAATGTTGAATTGCTTTGGGTCAAAAACTTCTCACTGGAATCATCTGGAAAATGTGGTTTTTGTACTTGGCGCAGAGCTGTGCTGGTGCAGATAACATTTGTTACTCCAAGGCTAATTACCGAGCTCACTAAGTGAACTAAAGCAGCTTTGTTTCTTTTCAGACCTTGTTCTAAATCCCCTGACCCGAGACTCCTTTCAGATCCAGCTCGAGGTTGCCTCGAAATAAATGCAGGGAGGTTTGTCCAGGAGGGGAAGGCAGAGAGTAAAATCAAGTGCCACGAGAGGTCCTGGAACATGAAGGTTTGCAATACCCCAGATAAATCTACCCCTGTATCATGCAACGAATGCAGTTCTTTTCAAAAGATGAAAGGAAACTTACAGCACTGAGCGTAAATGCCAAACACGAAATACCTCCATGGAGATGTTTTCTGCCATCTTTTGCCCAGCAGCAGCAGCAGGTCCTAGACCAAGTCTTGTACATTGGTTTCCTCATTTAAAAATGAGCCCGCTGACACCCCCCAAACCAGCTACATCGGCTCCTGATTCAAAATTCTCAGTCCCTTGGTTACAGCCCAATAGGCAAAAGTTCACACTTTCCCTAGAGAACTGGGAAAGGTCAAGTCCCTGTGAAAGAATGAGGTGTTTCCATAACTCAAGAAATTCGCCTGTGTCACTTTACATCATTAGCATAACGCTTAGCACCAAAAGTCTTCAGTGCTAACTAAAAAGTAGGAGCACAAACTAATTTCTGAGGTAGAAGGATAGATCATAAAGATGTAGAAGTGAAGAAGAATAAATGGAAAATTTTAGAAGGAATGAGGAGAGTTGCTTTCTTGGAAACACTCCAAGAGAGAACAACCCAATTGTGACTTATCACGCATGGCCAGAGGGGCTTCCAGCAGCATTTTTAAAAGAATTATCTTGTGTGAAAGACGCAGCCTTAGCTGTAGCTTTACCCACTCATATTCTAACTGATTAGTTCATGCTAACGCGGAAGCTCTGAGCCCAGCTGTTTGCAGAAAGGACAGTCATAGAAGAGCCACATCACACTCCCCCACCGCCCCACCCCACCTGTCCTTGGGGGAAAAAAATGAAAATCCTCTTTTCAAAACGCACGCCTCAGGAAAACAGCTTCATTGCATTTGTGTCCCTGCTGTGGAAAATCAGCGCTAACTGGCTTTGATCCCAAACAGGGCCAAGTGCAGAACGCGGAGGATCCTGCAGCCAGGAAGACAGCCGGGGCCTCTCCCCCCAGCACATTCGACTTCAATTATGTGGGAACACGCTCCGGCCGGGGGCGCTGCCAGGATTCTCCTGGCCCCGGACAGAGGAGGCCCCGTGCTGTGGCCCAGAATCCCTTCCTAAAAGTCCATACAGGATCCTTCAGTTGCTGCCAATCCTGCACTTTCTCATTGGCGAGATTCCTGGCTCTGTTTGGCCAGAGAAACACTAAGGCTTCCTCCTGTCCCTTTCCTCCTCTGTGTGCTGGGTCCTCCTCTCCCCAAGGCCCCTCTGCCCCTCAGAGGTGTCAACCAGAATGTTCCACTGTTTTCAGAAACAGAACAATCCCAAAAAAGATAACCCACACCAACCCCCACCCCTCTTCTTGGTTAGCTCTTTTATGGCCCACGGGAGAGGGCTGCCTTTTCGGTGAACTATTAAAAGACAGTTTGCTTTTCACCTTCTGAGTTAATATTCTTGTGGGGAGGGAGGTAATCAACGGTGAAGAACCCCGATTGGATTAGCTCGTGTGAACCCAAGCGGACTAAGAAAATCCTAGAAGAGAACTGGTCACCCTACTTGGCAATCCAGACCGAGAGCGGACAGAGGCCCCTCGCACTTGCCGAGAATGAGGAGTGGAAGCGAGTCCTGTCCTGCTGTTCCAACATGTTTGATTCCCGAGCCAGCTCACGTTTGCTGAATTCCTACTTACAAAGCCACAGTTACTGTGCTGAGTGCTTTCCTCGTATCGTTTCGTTCCATCCTCAATACATCTTACACATCAGGAAACTGAGGCTCAGTAGAGACAGGATGGGACTTGGCCAGCACGGACTGAGATCACACAGGTGATAAGTGACAAAGGTAATTCTCAATCTGGGCATCATCTGACCCCAATCTCTGGGCTTTGTACCACTCTGCTGGACTGCCTCTCCTAACTTTGAGACCTGGGAATGTAAAGGACACAGCTCCGGTTCCTAATTTGTTTAGGGGACGGGGTCTCACTCTGTCACCCAGGCATGTGCAGTGGCATGATCACAGTTCACTGCAGTCTCGAACTCCTGGGCTCAAGCAATCCTCCTGCTCAGCCTCCCAAAGTGCTGGGATTACAGACATGAGCCACCATGCCCAGCCCCAATTCTTGTCGCTCTGGAAAAGGAGGAGAGGACTGAGCGAAAGCCACTCCTGTGTGTGTCCAGAGGTCCTGCACACCTGCCTCCAAGCCATCCCTTCCTCCCATGGAGCTTTCTAGCTTCTTCCTCTCTTTCTCCCACTTCCGCAAGGGCCTGAGCCAGGGCTGATAAAGAGGAAGGAAGAAGGAAACCACCACAGTGCCTTCTCCCACCAAAGCCACAGGCTGGCTTCAGGAATAAACTTCATTTCAGTGGCCTGTCCTGGCCCCTTCACCCTGGAAGGCGTGGGGCCCAGGCCACAGCAGCCGTTTAAGCTGACATCTCAGTTCTTTTATACAGGGCTTCCTGGAAGCCGAGTCTTCTCCTCAGCTGGAAAAATTGCTTCTGGAACAAAACTATCCAGACTCTAAGGAGTTCTCCCTTTGGGAGTGTAGACTCAGTTACTGCCCCCAGAGGCACAGTCAAAAGGGCTTGCTGGAAAATGTAGATTCTGGAGGGATCAACTTAATTTGCAGATTCAATTGATTACAGACTAAATAGGAGAGAGAGAAAGCCTGGGACAAAATTCTTATAAACTGCTGGGGGATATTATAAAGCAGCATGAATTTGGCAGAGGTACACTGGTGCTGTGTGTGTCTGTGTGCAAATGTGTTCCAAGAGCTTGTTTTGTTTTTTTTTTAAAGACAGGGTCTTGCTCTGTCTCCCAGGCTGGAGTGCAGTGGCATCCTCATAGCTCACTTGTAACCTCAAATTTCTGGGCTCAAGCAATCCACTCACCTCAGCCTCCTAAGTATTAATAGCT